TAACGTAATTTAAATGAAAAAACTGCGTTGCACCACCATCGAAATATTTTTATTATTTTAAATAAAATCGATGAAAATTTTAGTTCGTTCGATCCATCGATCGATCTATCGAATCGAATCGAAAGAACGAAAAATAATAAACAAATCCTTACATTTAGTCGAACGCGATAAAAAGTAGAAAAAAAAATTTTTTTAAATAAAAAAAAAAATTAAAAAAAAAAATAAAACGCCACAAGTTTCTACACCGACATCATCTATCAATGTTATTTTCTTCAATGGTAAACATTGATAAGTTGAAAGCTGTTAGTAATAGAACTTATTAATAACCGTGTGTGTGTGTGTGTGTGTGCATATGTACGTATGGCACGGTGCAATAATAATAATAATAATAATAATAATTATAAGCAAGGACGTTAGTAGAGAGAGAGAGAGAGAAAAGAAAAAGAATTTTTTTAAAATTTATTTTATTTAGAGTTTTTTTTTTTTGTTAGAAAAATTAGTATCATAATTAATATTATTATTATTAAATGAAATATAATGAGTGTTGGTGGTGATGATGGTGGTGGTGGTGGTGTTGATCGCGGCATTAATGAAAAATTATTAATAATAATAAAAAAATAATAAATAAAAAATAAAATAAAACATGTGCAGCACAAGAGTGAGTGAAGATTTTTATTTTTTTAGTTCACGTCGTCCTTCGGTTGGAAAAATGGCTCCAACAACAACAATCGAAACCGTCACAATTACGAGGCCTTTAAAGGTGAGTTTTTTCCTCATTATTATTATTATTATCATCATCATCATTATTATTATTATTATTATTATTATCATTATTATTGTTACTACCATTTTGCATTTTCCCTTTTACGTATTACTTCTACCATTTGTTTTTTTGTATTTATTTCCACGTTCGCGTTCGTATGTACGTATTTGTTAACTAAGGAAAAAAAAAATTCCGCGAAAAAAGGTCTTGTTTTCGATATATTTCTCGAAACAAAAAAAAAAAATCGAAATTCGAGTTGCGATTAAATTGGTCGATTTAAGTAAAGAAAGAAATTTCGGTTCGGTTGAGGTTATTATTATTATTATTTTTTATTTTTTTTTTTACGAAAAAACGGGAAATTTTAAATGTCACGGTTTTATTTTCTCTCTCTCTCTCTCTCTTCCCCTCTCTCCCTCCCTCTCTGCTCCCTCCGTAATATTTTATAATTAATATATATGTATTAAAAAAAACACGTCGCGTTATCGAGTATTACGTCATCACGCGTGATGCACATTCTATGAATGAATGAATGAATGAATGAATGATTTAATAACTGACGAAATGTCGAAAGTAAGAAGGAAAAATAAAATTCGAAATTTTTTGTTTTTTAATTTTTTTTTTTTTTTTCGTAAAAATTTTAATAGAATATCGATTTATCGATCGATCGATTGATTGATTTTAATTCGAGAAAATTATTTTCGATTACGTTGGATTTTTTCAAACGTTCGGAGAAGAATTTAAACGCGTTAATGTCTGTTTTTTTTTTTAAATAATGGTTTCAAGTGATTAAGGACGCCATGTTTGATGTTACGAGATCGTCTAGAAATTTTTTTATTTTTTATTATTATTATTATTATTATTATTTATTTTAACGAATAGGATTACCTGATAAGAATGAGAGAGAGAGAGAGAGAGAAATTATTTCAGGGACTTTTTTTTAAACTCGTCGTCTTATTATTATTATTATCATCATCGTGATAACGCTCGGTGAAGTGAGAGAGAGAGAGAAAAATAAAAAAAAGATTACTTATTTATTTATTTTATATGTTTCCCTTGATAATTCAAGAAAAGCTTTTTTCTTCCCCCCCCCCCTCGTCCTTCCCTTTTCTCTTCGCTCACACACACACTTACACACACGGTCGTATGGGGAAAAAAAAATGTGAAAAGTGTTTCGTACGTTTGTTGACATTTTGAAAATTGAAAAGTCTGCCTCCTCCCGCGCTGCTGGTATGTTCCTGTCGTAGAAAGAAAGAGAAAGAGAGAGAGAGAGAGAAAATAAAAAAAGTTTTCCCTGCAAAGAGAAAATAAGTACAAAAAAAAAAAAAAAAAAAAATTTAGATTAGTAACTTTTTTCTAAAGATTTTCTTCTGGACAAAGTTTACAAAAAAAAAAAAATTTCTTTCTTCGCTGCCTTTCCCCTCCCCACCTCCCCCTTTCCCTTCCCCAGGGATCTCCTCACTTTCCCTAAATTTTTCCAGAAAGCATTAAAACGAAAAAAAAAAAAAAAAAAAAAGAAAAGAAAACAGCTCGGATGGATTCACCGCGGATTTTACTTATCGTTATTATCATCAAAATTTCATTTTTGAAAAACATATTCCCTTCCTTTACCATCATCATCATCATCATCATCATCGTCATAGCCACCATCTTGTTTTTGATTTAAAGTTATTATTGTTGTTGTTGTTGTTGTTGTTGTTGTTGTTGTTGTTGTGTTATTGTTATCTATCCCCTACGCTT